ATCTGCCCACACTGACGTCCATGTGTACCTCTGTGCCCACATGCATGTGCGTGCCCCCCCCCGTGTACGTGTGTTGCCCCTCGTTGCCGGTGCCCCCCCCCAGGTGGCACCTACCCCTTGGCGCACTGCAGGGTGGGGTAGTCATGGAGGAACCAGGGCAGGAACCGCTTGAACTCCTCCACCGTCGGGCGCCGCGTGGCATTCAGGCACTGGCCCCCGAAGCAGCTGGGGTCATCTGCGGGCGCAGCCGCGGTCAGCACCCTGGGGGTGGTGACCAGCACCCAACGGGCGCCACGGCAGGCACCCAGTGGACACCATGGCACCCCAGTAGGCACCCAATGCCCAGCTAATGGCATTCCATGGGCACCATGGCAAGCATCCAGTGGGCACCCAATGGGAATACAACAGGCACCCAATAGGATGCCAGTGGTCTCCAAATGGGACCTATGGTGGCCATCCAATGGGCACCATCACAGGCACCCAACGGACACCTAATGGGATCCCAATGGGCGTCACGATGTCCACCCGATGGGTGCCCAACATACAACCAATGACCTCCACAGCAGGGACCTCACATGCAGTGACAGCCACCATGGTGGGCACCCAGTATACACCATGATGGGCACCTGACGGCCACCATGGTGGGCACCCAATGAGCACCATGATGGGCACCCAACGGCCACCATGGCGTAGACCTCACATGCCCCCAACAGCCACCACGGCATCCCCCCAGCGCCCCGGTGCCCACTCACTGCTGGTGGAAGGACAGAACTCCCCGGTGAGGTTGCCGAACCAGTGGACGCGGCAGCAGCGGCTGGTGGGGTTGAGCCAGTCGAGGAAATCATCCACCCAGGAGGTGGCGGGGATGGCGAGGTAGGACCTGGGCAGACACAGGGCTGGCAAGAGGCTGGCAGGACCCTGCCCGCCCGGCCCCCTGCCCCCCGCGCCCCACTCACACGTTGGGGAAGCGCGTGGCATACTGGATGGTGTGGGTGAGGGAGTTGGTGGCGCAGCCGGCGCTGGAGCAGATGCTGTTGATGCCGGCCGGGGAGGAGAAGTTGTAGCCGCCGGTGGTGACGAAGTAGGTGGGTACCCCCACCGCCAGGTACTGGTTCAGGGCGGCGAAGTACTCCAGCATGTAGGAGTCCTGGGGGGGGCACCCACCCACAGTGTCCCGGTGGTCCCCAGACGGAGTCCCACCATCCCCACATCCCTGTATAGGGCCATGCCACCCCCCCGCCCGATGTATCACCCCTGTGCGTTCCCGTACGGGGCCGTCAGCATCACGGTGGCCGTGCTGTGCCTGTATGGGGCCATGCCATCCCCACGCTGGCCCCATACGGGGCTGTGCTGGCCCCATACGGGCCGTGCCATCCCCGGGCTGTGCCCATAAAGGGCTGTGCCATCCCTGCGGTGGCCCTATATGGGGCTATACTGTCCCACGCCTCCCTGTTTGGGGCCATGCCACCCCTGTGCATCCCTGTACAGGGCCGTGCCACCCTTGCGCTGTGCCCATATGGGGCCACGCTGTCCCCGCGCATCCCTATAGGAGCCATACCACCCCGTGCATCCTCGTAGAGGACCACGCTGTCCCCGCGTGTCCCCCACCCCAGGCACCCGTCACCCCCTGCAGCCTGGGGTGGGGGTACCCCCAGAGCCAGCCCCCACCTTGGGCATGGCGAGCTCCTGGTCCAGCCCCACGGGCACCTGCAGCGTGAAGTAGAGCCCGGCGCAGGCGAAGAAGAGGAAGAGCAGCACCTGCCAGCCAGAGGCACCCCAGTGAGGGGACCCCCCAAATCCCCTCGCAACCCCTCTACGCCCCCCCCCCAAACCTCCCACGCTCCTCCGGAGGGCCCCCAGCCCCCCCATGT